CTGGCCTTCCTTTTATTTCTCAATCGTACATTGTTCAACTCCACCTTATGTAATGCACCTTCCAATTTGATCTTGCACAGAGTCATCCGTTTCAGGTTCAATTTATGCTTACTTCCCTTGATGGTATACACGCTTCCTGCTCTCCAACATGTAAGACACTTGGCTGGTATCCAAGCTTTTTGTAACTTTGAGAACTTTTATTGGTTCACACGCTTCTCTCCTCTTCAACTGTGGAACCACCTGCCCTGACATACGCAGTTCCAGCTCTTTCGCTGTGAGGACCCTTGTACTGGTACAACACGCTTCCTCCTCTTCCGACTGTGAGACACCTGCGCTGCATACGCCCGTTCAGTTCTTCGACTAGCGAAGACACTTTGCTATTACAACTTTTTGCTCTTCATACTGTGAAGATCCTGGTTCAACATGCTCCTCCTCTTCCAATTGAGGATACCTGCGCTGACATATGACGTCGAGCTCTTTCGGTGCTGACAACTGTGCTGAAAAAAGTGCATGTTGCGCTGCGAACAGCTCTTCAAATGCGTTGACAATCGCGTTTAACTGCGTTGACATCTGAGACATACGTGTATCTGACTCTTAAATTGTGTCGACATTTGCGTTGACATCTGAGACATACGTGTATCCTGCTCTTTAAATTGTGTCGACATTTGCGTTACATCTGCGTCCCCATCTGCGATATTGCAGAAAAAGCATGTTCATGTCCACGATCTTTGACGAGCATTGACCTCTTCTTTTCTTCTATCTTTGTTGTCTCTTCTTCTAATTCCATGTGAAAGACATATTCCTCAACATTAATGTTTTCCGCCTCCTGCTCTCTCAACCGTGATTGTAATTCAGTTTTTAATCCATTTGTCGCCAAACCACGTTGTTCCAGCTCCTTTTTCAGTTGTGGAATCTTCAGATCGTTAAACTTGGCCATTTTTAATAATTATCTCCTTGGAATTATTGACAATCCCACTTCTGACACCAACTGTAACGGATTTCTCGAAAATCGTCTACCTGTAACTCACTCTTGAATTCGATCACTGGATTGTAAAATAAAACTCCCAATTTAATGGCTACCACACTTATCTATATTCTAATTCCAACAACTTAACACTATTGCTCGTTATACGATCTTACAACTTCTGCTTATGTCTCAATTTTTTCTTATCACGACAACACTCTAACTAGAACTGTCCTTGCTGCACAATCCGGCAGCCCTTATATAGTAAATCTGTAACAAAACATTGATTCTAGAACATTCTGGCCACTACGAATTCGCTAACTACTACTACTAACATTCGCGCAACTACGAATTCGCTGTCTAGTTGCTTCTGGCAATTTATCGTCGATTCGTTTGTTCTATCATCCGTGTTCGTCACAATATTTTCTCTTAGTTTAGTTACGTTAACTTACATGTTTATTTTTTGTGAGTGAAAATATTTGTCTGTTGAATATTTAAATTTTTAGTTTACCGGTTTAGTTAATGTACGTTTTTTTGTTTATTTTCAATTAGCGCCACGAATGGATCAAGCTGTTGGACGTAATGAATCCAACGGCAAAATATTTGTTTGCGTGCCAAAGACATTTCTCGTTAAAGATGAGGAAGGGACGGCTTCTGTCCAAATGGCTGTACCAGATTATATTTAAGAATATTATCACCTGCAGTGAAAATAGACAGGCATTAGAGTTGTAGACAAGTAGGTAGTATAATTGACCAAGTCGGACAAGACATTCAAATAGGTAGTGAAAGTTTAAAGCATTCATCTTAGCTCTTCCCCAGTTAGAACTGTCTCGACTTCAAACACTAATATGTTTGAAGTTGAGACCTTGGGTAAATTCCTTTAACCCCTATATAATGAAGTCACACATGTTCTTCCTCTTTAGGTAACTCTCAATAGTTAAAACATCGGCACATAGTAGGCAAACGCAAACAGAGCGATATTTGACAGAAGGGACATAGGAAAAGAATGTATCGCAGAGAGCTAGACGAAAATCGCAGGAAATAGAATTTTTACGCAATAAGGTGAGAGCTTTAGAAAGTAAAATAGAAATTTTAGAAAGTAAAAAAAATGTGTCTAGTTGGGCAGGAAGAAAATAGACAAATAACAGAGCTTTGCGACAAACTTCCTCCACATCTTGCGATATGTGTGAGAAATTGTCTAAAAACTTCACTCCGTAATTCTAAGGCTTTTATGATAGGGAATTAAAAATGTTAGCTCTGGCTGTTAAATTTCTATCACCTATTACGTATAGGTATTTACAGCCCATTTTTAATTGACCATCATAAGTTACCCTCGAACAATTAGTTTAGGGTTGGCCACGTAACCCTGGCTGCAATTTTAGCAGTATTAAAGCCCTGGAGTTGAGAAGCCGTGGTTTCACAGACGCACAGAGATATATTTCGATATGCTGTGACGAAATGTCTCTGAAAATTCATCTTCAGTATGAGAGAAATAGGGACTGGATTATTGGGTTGGAGGTGATGAAAATCGTACCTCTCGAGTAGCTTCTTGTAAACTTGGACCCACCCTATAGCATATTTTTTTTGTGCACAAAGCTTGCAAAGGAGATATCAGGGTATTGGATTACGTCCCTGCAAATCGTTAGCGACCAAGGGTCAAATTTTGTAAATTTTGCTAGGTTAGTAGGAGTATGTAAAGATAGGCCCTATTTCGAAGTGATGACTCTGAAGTCATTTACTTCTTTGATTCTCCTCATCTCTTAAAAAGTTCACGAAACTGCTTAGAAAATAAAAAGAATAAAGTCGTTGTTAATGGGCGTCCAGTGAAATGGTCTGATATCGTTCATGTATATGAAAATGGTACCACAAGCGACATTAGTTGCACCCATAAGTTGACCTCGGCACACATTGCCCCTAAACCCTTTCAAAAAATGAGCGTGCAATTAGCTTCTCAAGTTTTTAGTCATTCTGTTGCAAGTGCTATGTTTGCGCTTCATAGCTCCGGGAAACTCAATACTTCTAAGTCTCCATCTTTTATTAATACAGCCGAGTTCGACCTTTTTTTTTGATAATTCAAAATTTCAATATTTTTAATAGTAATGTCTTTGGAGCAGTAGAGAATTTTAAAGAACCCTTTTCGACAACTGCGGACCAATTAAAATTTCTTGAAGAAGCCGATGAGTTTCTTAACTCTATAAAAGTGTACGATTTTTTCGGTCGCGAAACAACAAACACTTTTAGCTTTATAAAAGGTTGTCTTCTTAATATAAGTAGCTTAAGACGTTTGTGGTGCTTCTGGTCATATAAGAGATTCACACATTTAATGACTAGAAAACTGACTCAGGACAGACTAGAGAATTTTTTCGGACATATACGTAGAGGGGGGGGATTTGATGTGAGAATAACTCCGCAGCGTTTCTCATATCTTTTCAGACAAGCCTGGGGCATAGGATATATTCGATGTGTAGACAAAGGGAATTGCGAACTCTTGCCAGTTGACCAGTGTGAGTCATTTTGTAATAGCTCCCTCCAAAGCGCCTGTAACGACACTTTGGTTCAAACGCCTCTTGGTAAACATTTCAAGGTTTACCAAGGCCTACCAATTCTACCTCATTTCAAAATATACAAATCGAGGTAAATGTGGATGTAGACGAAAGCAGCTTTCTGCATAAAAATGCTTTTGTATATTTTTGCAGATACTTGTATTATAAATATTTTAAACAACATAATTGTTTCATGCCTTTGCCAATATTTGATGGTGGTATTAGCAATATAGTAATTGCCATATAGTAAAACAACTCTCTGAGTTTATAGATTTTCTGTCAAAAATCGAAGATATTTATACACAACAATTTGATTCAACTTGTCACAGGATCGGCTTTTCCAAATTATTATTTGAAAAATGGTGTACGTAGAACCATACTATTATTGTGAAAATTGTAATTTCGATAATATAAAATGTCTATTCATTGGAATTAGAACATATTTCTTAGTAAATGCTTTTAACAAAAAAGTGAAACAAAGTGATTTTAAAAACATTAAGTTCTTACTACATATTTTTTTGTTTTCTAAGTATTTTCGTATACCAAGTATAGGACCCTTCTATCCACCACTATTCCTTTGATAGGGTTTTTTTATTTAGTATTTCGTTGTGGGTGATTTAGAATATTTTGTAAATATTATTTATTACTTAGTAGATTGTTTTGATTATTGTTATTGTTACTGAATTGTACCTCATTTTTTATATTTATTTTTGTTTTTGCTAAAATTAATACAAGTAGATTGTTTTCACTATATATAATATATTATATATTTGTTCATGAATACAATTGAATTGTACATGATTTTTATATATTTATTTTCGTTTTTGTTCAAATCAAGTTGAATATTTCAACTTATATTGTTAATGCTATATTGTTAATGTAATTAATATTCATGTACCTGATTTTATGTATATATCTTTTCGAGTTATAATTGTTATGAAAAGTAGATTGTTTTAGAACTGTATATATTATATGGGTGGATATAGGCCTCCTGGGGAACCGAACACCCAAAAAAGATCGGTAACGCGCCTATATTGCAACCTCAGAGGTAGTGAGGAAAAGCAATAAATATTTAATAATCTTTTGTTTCGAAAATTTTCTTGAAAGTTTTCATTATTATTTTCATTACAAATATATGGGCGGATAGAGGAGGTCCTCCAGATCAAGAATATATATAGATATAGCGGCGCGAAACTTATAGTTTATATGGGTTACAAATTGTTAAACAACATCCTTTTATTTATTCGATCAGGTGATCACGGCTGTTTCACACACATAGGAAAACAGCTGAACGCAGCATTGCAAAAGGCTGCTTACATATTAAGCTTAGTACGTGTTAAATGGGACTAGCTAATGTACACCAACAAATATTCATTTAATTGTGTGGACGAAAACAAAGCGGTAGCATGCAAGCAAATATGTACATATGTACACAATGCAAATACAATTATTATATTAACTTCATTGAGTTAAATGACTTCTAATGCTTGCCCTTGAATATTAGGCAAATAAATAGAGAACTAGAAATAGCAAAAAATATATTAGAACATATGACCGTATAGATTCTCAATCGGTGACCCAACATGAATAATTACATGATATTCGGATATTTAGGCGTTATTACTTATTATTTTTAATGAAATATGCTTATTTAAATAATGATAATAAAGTACAAAAGAGTCCCAGTCTGAACGCCGTCTATGCTGCTACTGTGTTAGATCTGGCAACTTTTAATATGTCCACGTGTTTATTAAGAGAATTATGCATGGAATTATGATTCTAATCAACTGTGGCAATGGCGTTGAAAAGATTGAAAAGTTTGTATTTATAATAAAGTTAAAGATATACTATATTATTAGTTTCTTTTTATATCAGCTAAAAAGTCTAAACGACTTTCTGGACGACTAAAACATAAAATTGAAAAGAAAGTGCGAGAACACAATAGAAAAATTCGGCGAGAAACAAAAAAAAATCTTAAATCAGGACGCAAAAAACAAAAAATTATACAAATACCTAATATATGCCCTTTTAAAGAAGATATCTTAAAAGAAGTAGAAGAATCTAAAAAACGTCTTGTTGAGGAGAAAATACGACGTCGTAAAGCCTTTGAACACCAAAAGAAGGAAAATAAATTCAAATACCTTGAAGACTTGGTTCAGGATGCGACTACTCGTGGTGAAGTTCATATATCTACTCAAGTGGACAATATCGGTGCCGAGGTTTGTTTATAAATTCAGGAACCAAAGAAATTAAATTAAAAAAATAGCATCATATTTATATATTCTTGGTAAATGTATAGTTTAGATCCGCCAACTAACGAGGGCTCAAAAATGATTTTTTTTTTAATCGTCTTATTTTTACGCGAACATCTCAATCCGTGAGCGGAAAGTAAATTTTTTCAATAATTTATTTATATATTTACAAATATGGGTCGGCTTTAGTATAACGTCCCAGGCTTTCGAGGATAAAATGAGTATGAGCGGATAGAGGAGGTCCTCCAGATCATGAATATATATAGATATACCGGCGGGAAACTTAGAGTTTTCGAGATATTTACGTTTAAATTTGAAAATTTCAACTATTTAAAGTACGTATTTTTGCGGTTTAAAATGAATTATACAGTTATATTTTTCACTATTATATACACTAACACATGTCTAATTCGTTTCAACACATTTATTTTATATTATATAAAGCAAAAATAGTTTAATTCAATAATTAAATTATAGTTAAATTCTACCTTTAGTTGAACAAAACTATTATACTGTGTAGCAACATGTTGCGTGAGTATTAAAATCATATTTTCATACGAGTATATTAACATTAAGCCAATAAGTATGTTTTGGATAATTATGCAAAATCTTGGCATGTAAGTATTTTGTTGAAAAGGTCAGTTACAAGTAAAAAGTTTAGAATCATGGTTAACATTTTATATAAAAGTTATTTCAGCATTTTATGTACATGCTTATAAATACAAAAGTAAAATTGTAAACAAACTTATAAATTAAATATATATTTTAAACAGAAGGGGTATAGTCCAGCTATAAGCAAGGAACAATCTCTTAAACAGTACTTCAAGGAATTTAAGAAAGTAATTCAGAACGCTGATGTAGTTTTAGAAGTGGTAGATGCACGTGATCCTCTCGGGACTCGATGCAATGAAGTCGAAAGAGCTGTACGATCTGCTTCAGGAAATAAGCGCATAGTATTAATATTAAACAAAGCTGATTTGGTACCACGCGAAAATCTCAATAATTGGATTCGGTATTTTCGACGATTTGGTCCAGTTACTGCTTTTAAAGCCTCAACCCAAGATCAAACATCTAAATTAGGTCGGCGAAAATTTAATCAAATTAAAACAGATAAGGCTATGCAAGGATCTGTGTGTGTGGGAGCTGAGTTACTAATGTCGATGCTTGGAAATTATTGCCGCAATAAAGGTATTAAAACATCAATCCGCGTGGGTGTCGTAGGAATACCAAACGTTGGAAAAAGTTCTATAATAAATTCTTTGACCCGCGGCAAAACGTGTTCTGTTGGTTGCACCCCAGGTGTTACAAAGTAAGTTTGAATAATTATATTTCAATAAAAAATTCATATTATTTCCCCGTATCTTTAGAGTCATGCAGGAAGTTGAACTTGATACAAAAATAAAACTTATTGATTGCCCAGGTATTGTTTTTACAAATCCAGGAAAAGAGAGTTCTGAAGGAGTTGTTTTAAAGAATGTTCAACGTGTTGGCGACGTTAAAGATCCTTTTACTATTGCCGAAAATGTGTTGAAGCGCGCCAGTAAACAGTACTTTTGTAAACTCTACGATATTTCCGAGTATGACAGTTTTGAAGAATTTTTTGCTAAAAAGGCCACTCGAATGGGTAAGTTGAAACAATAACTTTAAATAAATAAAGGACTTTATATTATATATTGAATTATGTAAATATGGTATATAACCAATTATAGGTAAATTTTTAAGAAAAGGGGTGCCAGATGTTGTTGCAGCTGCACGCAGTGTACTTAATGATTGGAATAGTGGTAAAATTAAATATTGTACTCAACCTCCTGTAACAGAGCAAAGAAATGATGTCCATGTTAGTGCTGCCATAGTTAACTCTGATGCTCGCGAATTTGATGTTGATAATTTTGAAGCGATGGAGACGGAAATTCTCAACAATTGTATCGTAAAAAATGAGGAAGTATTGGAAGTCATTTTAAGTGGACCTGTGAAAATGAAAATGTCCTTTGATGATGAAACGAAAAAGTCCACATATACCATAGTGAATGAAAGCCAAATTTCTAATAAAAAAAGAAAACTAAAAGATGCAAGCGATACATCGACTGTGGATCCCGTAATGAATTTAGAAGGTAACATATGTATAGGCTACGCTGTAATTAAGTTTAATAGTATTCTATAGTATGTGACTATTGTCTAGATTTCAAAAACATAATTACAAAAGGTTTTATCCAAAGGTCTTAATAAGATTTCTATTTTTTTCGAAAGATTCTACTATTAATTAAATTTTTTTTGAAATCCGTACTACTATTGTTCTTCCTTGTTGTTGTAGCGGCAGAATTCTGCCGAGTTGACAGTCCTCGGCCGGAATAAATCCGGGTCCGTTCCGGTTACGTAGACCCGACTGTCGTGGGAACGGTGTTCTTTTTCCTTGTCATTTCGATTTCGGTTATGTAACCGCCTAAGTGACCTTAGCACTAGAACTACGAAGATTTACCTTATGCCTATTTCAAATAGGTCTCTCTCTTAAAATTGGAAGCGTAAGAACAGCATAATCTAGAATATTATTCTATACACAAATTTAATAAAACTCATGACATTATCGTAAAATATTAAATAGGAATAAAGAGGAAATGGCATAAATAAATGATGCAACCGGTAATTTTGACCGGTTCGTATTTCTAGTGTTAATGACAGTCACAACTGCAGTGACCGTGAAACTAGTGTTGATTGAGAATTGACCACAACGTCAACCTCAAACCATTCACGTAGATACTCACTGTCCCTATCCTCCAACGCAGAGCGTAGAGTTCTACCAGGAGTTTCTTCGGCGACGTAGTGATCTAAATAATCGGTGATGGCGTCGGAGTATCTAACTATTATATTTTAGAGTGATAAAAATAAGACGTTCTTAGCCCTTAGTTTTGATAGCAACTTTCACCTATGCATATAACCAAATTGGCATTGACTACTCATTGCATTATAGTTGGTGTCGTTTGCGGGCTCACCCTTTTGGTGGATTTGGTGAGGTTCATAACAGTTGCATAGCAGGCATGTTTTCGTCCGACCATGTATGTAGCTCATATCTTTTCTACATTGGTTTTCTAGCTTTTTTTCTCGCTAATTGTTAGTCGGTTAAGGTGATATGAACTTATGGTTATCATCAAACAAAAATATACCATTAGTGATTTGTGGTCTTTTTGAATTGAAGTTTTCTTATTCTGTGGTGGGTTTCAAGATCACGACGAAAATTGGAAAACAAAATAAGGTACTTTTGGAAGTATCCATGACCGGATAGTAGCTGCGTTATGTAGAAGTCGATTTCTCCGAATTTACGACTTGTCCATAAGTTTAGGTCTCTTATAAGTCTGGCCGTCCATCTGCCGCGACTCTCATTCTCCCATCTTCGTTGCCATGCTGATATCGTGTCTTTCTTTATATGGTCTAATGCGCTCTTGTTGTATTCAGACATTTTCTTTAGCTCCCACAGCTTTTTCCTTTCGTATGCCAGAAGGTCAATTGGGGCATTTCCGCTTATGACTAATATTGCATCACCTGACACCGTTCGGTAAGCTGATGCAACTCTGAGGGCTGCGGTGCGGAATACTCTAGCCAATACCTTACGCCGGTTTTCCTTTTTTAACACATCTGCCCAAATCTCTGCTCCGTATAATAGGACGCTGATGGTCGTGGACATTAGAAGCTTTCTCTTTTCTTGGCTGGGCCCCCCTATGTTGGCCATTAGTCTGCTGAGTTGGGAGGTGATTTTCGCTGCTTTTCCTGCAGCGTGCTGGATTCGTACACAAAAAGTTAATCCGGGGTCCAGTCTTACGCCTAGGTAGTTCACCGGTTCTTGTTTGCATACTTATTTCGAGAGGTATCTGCTTATTTGTTAGCAGAAGTAGTTCTGTTTTCTCCGTAGCGAGCTGGAGGTTGTGTCAGTCAAGCCATGTTTGTGTCCGTATCATGACCTGGTTTAGCTTTCTTCGCGCATCTTCTGTGTCTCGGGCTGTAATTACTGCTGCAATGTCGTGTGCGTAGCCAATTAGGTACGATTCGTCTGACATTTCGAGTTTTAGTATGCCGTCATAGTTGATGTTCCACAAGTCTGGGCCTAAAATGGATCCTTGTGCAGCTCCTGACGTAACTGCTATCTGTCCTGATCCCTCTCTAGTTTGGTACAGCAGATAAAATATCTATTGCTTAGGTAGCTCCGCACCACAGCTCTGAGGTAGTTGGGGATTTTAAAGGGGATTCAAGAGCGTCGATCATGTCCGCCCATCTAGCGCTGTTGAAGGCGTTTCGGACGTCTAGAGCCGCCAGCAAAACTATTCTTTTGTATTTATGGCATCTACGCTGTGCGGCTTCTACGCTTTCAATGATGCATCTTATAGCTCCTAAAGTTGACTTGCCGGGTCTAAAGCCGTGTTGTCTAGGGGAGAGGCCTCCGGCTTCGCTGATGGCCGCTTCGAGTCTGGGTTTAAGTAGACTTTCATAAAGTTTTCTCGCTGTGTCAAGCATACATAGTGGACGGTATGCTGATGGTAAGTTGGGATCACCTTTTCCCTTCCAAGGTTCAGGGAATATTCCGGCTTCGAGGCAGGCGTTGTACATATTCAGAAGTAATGCCGGTCGCTCTGCGGCGATTTGCAGCTCTTCGAGGGTGAACTGGAGGATTTGCAGAAGTCTTGTTGTCTGTTCTGGATCACTAATCCTGTTTTCGTGTGTGGGGAATAGTGCGCTTACGATATGATCCATTTTGGCAGCGGTTAAGTCAGGTGGTTTTGCTCGAACTCCGAGTTTCTTCATTACTATTTTGTACCCGAGTCCCCAGGGGGTTTTTTTAACGTCCTCGCGTATTTCCTCCCATTTTCTCTTTTTGCTATCATCGATGGCGTGCTTCAGCTCCTTTTTCGCCGCTTGATATTGCTCGGCTTCTTGAGATGCGGCTCCTCTTCGCCTGGATTTCGTATACGATCTACGAAGGCGAAGGCATGCGCGTTTGAGTTGGGCAATATTATCTGTCTACCAGTAAACTGCCGCTTTATGTTTGCTGTGGGCAGCCTTGGGCATTGATTTGTGACATGCTCTTGTTATATTAAGCATTGTGTGGTCGACAACTTTTCTTGCATTTTTAGGGGAGCTGCTAGATGGGTTATGGTCGTCTATTGCGGAGATTAATTTCGAAGTGTTTAGTTTAGAGACGTTCCATTTTCGGGCTCCAGTATTTTATCTGTACTGGTGGGCGTTTGTTCCGGTGTCCACCTCAAAAAAGATGTACTGATGATCGCTGCCAGTGTAATCTTCTAGGACTCTCCATTTCTTTATTAAGCCAGCCATGCGTTCTGTTGATAGGGTGATGTCTGGTGTGGTTTCCTCGCAACCCGGTCTTCTAAACGTGGTTGCATTTCCCGTATTAAGCACTATTAGACCAAGCCGCGCAGCCGTTTCTTGAATGCGCTTTCCTCTCGAGTCCGTGTTTGGCATACCCCACTCTATGGCTTTCGAATTCAGGTCACAGGCGATAATTAATTGACATTCTATAGACCTGGCTGTATCCTCAATATTGTCGAGCTTTTCTTGAAATTCTTGTATGCTGTCGCTTGGCGTCAAGTAGTATTAAGTCGTAACCGTTCTCTGTCACCATTTGCGAGAGTAAAGCGTCAGCAGCCTTGCATCTATGCATATTGGCCTGTAGAATATTAATTTATTCCGAAGATTCCTATATACCGTACATGCACTCGTTTGTGCACTCTTTTAATTTGTGACCTGTTTGGCCGCATTTTATGCAAATACCTTGCCCTCTCCTGTCGGGCCCTTTGCAGTCCCAGGTCAAGTGCCCTGGTCCAAAGCAGCGGTAGCACCTTTTGGCGTTTTCTTTCAGTCGCAGCCTGCAGTTAACCCAGCCAATTTTAATGCGTGTCTTTCGCATCAGTGTTTCAGCTTTATCCTGATGAAGCGTTATATACGCCCTTACCTACTCTCTTGGGCTAGGTGCAGTTATGATTATTGTCAAGTCTTCGAAGGGGTCCTGTACCACTTCTTTTACGGCTCTGCGACTTCGTTTTTTGTTGTGAGTGAATCGAGGTCTCTAATCTCAATAGTAGCTTTTGGTTTAAGGTCGGCCACTGTTGCGGATTTTTGAAGGGTGTGCTTGAGTGCCTCACAGAAGTTGGCTTTTGCAGTCTGTCCCTTCTCCAGCTCTAATAGTAGCGCCCCGGGTCTTGTTTTGCGGATCCCTTTAATCTTAACATCTGCTTCTTATAGATTTACTTGCTACGGATGTTCTTAAGGACCTCGGCGTAGCTGTTGCCTTCTGCTGGCTTAATAATTACGGCCTCTGATTGTCGCTTGGCTTTATAATATGCTCTCTGACTTGCAGCTATATTCTTCCCTTGTTACCTCTCTTCTGTGGCTTTGAGTGCTTCCACCACCTTGCCTCCTTCTGCGTGGGTCTTCTTCGTCCTTTTGTGCAAAACTTTTTGCCACTGGTCCTCCTTTTCATTCAGTGGGCGCACTGTCTCTCGAGGCTCCACAGGGCTTGTCGCGCGCCGCTTCGAAGTTATTGGCTCGGGGGTCGTGATGCGGCTGCTTGAATGTCCCCCTCTTTTCTCGGTTTCAGCAATGAGCCAGTTTCTACGGTAACTCTTGATTACGTCAAAGAGTTCGTCTAGCTGTGCCGCTCCGTTCTTAACGTCCATGCTGACATTTTTCTGTTTGGCCATCGCCATCTTCGTTATTTGCACGATGCTCTTGCACTTTTCTAAGGATTCCTCTTCTGCCTATGATGGCAGCTGGGGTGCGCTTCCTTCTCCTTGTTTTGCCAATCCTATTTGCGAAGCCGGGGTTTTATCCAGCTGTTTTGGAGTGGTGGAAAGTATAGGGGATCTAAGAATCCTACTACTCCTACGGAAGACGGTCCGGTTTCCACGTCTTGGCCATCTTTATTTTGTTGTGTTTTTTCTTGTTGTTCTTCTTGTTGGGGCTTTTGTTGTTGTTGTGGTGTACTCATTTTGTTCTGATGGGTCTCCGCTTCAAGCCGCTATCTCCGCGCGTTGTAACAGTTGCCCTAAATGAACCCCGTGGTTATCTATGCAAGCAGGGAGGCTACGCGAGGGTTGACACATGTCCTTATGGGAGCTTATGTTCAGAGCCAGGTTTGGGCACAAATCAGGAGCTCGTCTCAACTGAAACTGTACGGCCAAGAATATATGGCGACGTGCATTGAACGTACTTTGCCATGGTTTTAACGAGACGGAGATGAGGACAGTATTAGCCTACCAACCATTTCGGTGAGATGTCACTCTTACCTACTGAGGTGGTAGAATGCTGCTCCTTTCCGGCTTTCCAGTATACCATAATCAGAATCTTACTGGCCTCGATTCTGATGGGCGCTTGTCGCTGTATTGATCCCTCGTCGCTTTGTTGCCTCCCTTTCGTGGGTAGGTTCTCCCTCGGTGCAGCCCTGGTGGGGGTTGGGGACGCTTATTTAAAGGCGGCATCTGTTCGCCTCTTCGCCGGAGGTTCATTGGGCGCGTGAGGTATTTTGAGCCAAACCCTCCTCTCCTGCAGCTCTTGGTCGGGGGCTGCGTATTACTATTCGCAGCTAACCAACTTAGCGTAGGCCGTCCACTATCCGCCAACTGTGACCCCGGTAGTAGCCTGAGCTCAGCCTTACCAACCAATCATTCGTAGCATCCATTATTGAGCTTAACAAAATTGATTGATTCATTACCGCGGCCAACAAAAAAAATTATTTTTGGTTACTGTTTTCATGTTCAAATTCTGAGTCTGGACATTGAAAAACACACACTTTAAGTTTGATTTTGCCTTATACGAATGGGCCTGATTTGCTCATACAAACATAAAAGAAATACGAAAAATATTAATTTTTAAACATTAATTTCTTGTTGGTTTACATTTATATACTATTGTTTATCACAAATTTCAAATAAAAAAGACTGATATACAGCTTTCTTCTTAACATAACTTAAAGTATAATTATAAAAAATATGAAAATCACTTATTTTTGCCGAAAAATTGAAAAGTTACACTTGTTCCTGCAAATGAAAACTTCGAAACAAAAAAATTTCCCCTTTATTTTGGGTGTACGAGAAACTAAAATTTAACTTGCAGAAGTAAGGTGTGGTTGTCCACTGGAATAAAGTCGGGAGGTTTCTTGATCGAGCTAATTATGGGCAAGTGGTCTGATGCGAGAGTTAGCATAGGTTGCCAGGTCATGCTATTTATCAGACCACCGCTAGCGATGGTAATGCAGAATGTCGACGTCTACCTGTTCCGCCAGCTCCATCCCCCTACAATCGTTTGACAGGCAGGAGTAACAAAGATCGTGGTGCGCGTGAAAGTCACCTAGCACCTAACGGCTTTCACCACGAAGTAGCGCACATATGTTTGGGTGATATACTATTGGGCAACATGTAACCGGGGGGATGTATATATTATTAAATATCTCGAGCTCGACATCTCCTGACTGGATAGCTATACCCTGACATTCTAGTGTAGTGTACTTACGGTCGATGTCGGAACACGACGGAAAGTGAAACCAGCCAGTACAAGAATTGCACTTGACTGATGCGACGTATGACGGTATTACACACGAAACAGAATGTGCGAGAAACCAGGAGTTGCTGAGAGACTCTGGCACGAGAATTAGAGCGGGATGAAGGTTGGGGGGGATTGGTCAGACTGGGAGTCATGCTGCCCTCGTGAGCTCCTTAAGGCTTCGGAGGCTTAGGGCGACTGGAGTGGTGAAGATTGCACAGCCGTTGATGCAGGTATCGCAGTTGTGCGTTGGTATCATGGGGCCACGTAACTTGTGGTCCACTCCCTATGGGCCTTAAGGCCTAAACAGATCTTAAGATGGTTCTACCCATACCATGTGTTCCACCTACTCGAGGTGGAGTTTGGATGGAACCTATTCGCGCAAATTCAGCAATAGAATTCCTCGGGGCCCGGGTTGAGCTCGATATTAGCACGGGCCAGGAGGATACGAAGCAACCCTGCTGCTAGGTGTTGCTCTAAAGACGACAAATTTAAACTAAAACTTATTCATCACAACAGGGTTAGATCGCCGAAATAAAAGCCCTTGGCCGGATAAAATCCGGGTCAATTCCGGTAACGTAGAACCGGTTGTTGTGGGAATTGTATATACCATATAATATGACAGTTGGCCCAGGGCTGCAATTATTTTGCTGCATTTCATTGCACGAAAATTAACATTGGTTTTGAAGAGGCGAACTTTGCAGTTGTTGCATTTCACAAATTGGAAAATTCTACAAAACTCATACTGAAGAAGCTCAACATGTTCCACAAAGTAGAATAATATTGTTCGTGTAACGGTTGTTTCTAACAAAAAAACCTAATCGAGATTGGTAGGTATATGGTAATTACAAATGATCAGGATGACAAGACGAGTTGATTTCCGAATATCTGTCAGCCACAAGCAAGATAATTTGAGTAAAAATGAGATATCTTGATAAAACTTGGCAGACGCGATCCTTGGCACTCTGAAAGGATCGGTGTTGTTGTTATATTAGAGACGGGCTAAACAGGGCAATTACACGAAAAGTATATGATATAATATAAAATTCTATAACTAAACTAAAAATTAATCCACAAAATTTAAATTTTATATAATAATAGTAGATAAGATTATCGGGGTTAAGAAATTTTTGAAAAGTGGCCCCCATTTGGTAGTATGTACATTTCTTGCAAATTTTCAAGGCTATATAAACCAAAATTGCTTGAAACATGTCACAAATCGGATAATAACTGAACCAACTGTTTACATGTCTACTTAACTTAATGGGAACACACAAAATTTTGTTTTTACTTAAATAACCATTAGAACTCAATAAAAGCATAAAGAAAGATATAAGGTCGATCGAGGTACGTAAAACGATGTCCAGCTCCCTGTCTGATCGAGTAAACGGAGATGTGTAGCGCGCCGGATCGCCGTTTTATCGCAGAGTAGAATTGAATGTATAAGCGAATGAGGTGTGGGCGATGATCCCGTCATTTTTGTCAAGTTTGTGTATGTAGTGTTCTCAAATGTTGAGTGTGGTGTTGGCATCGTATGTGGTGAGATGCTGTGAGTGTTCTCAGGTGTGGTATGTTGTATTAGGGTGCGCCAATTTGTTCACGGATAGTCTGGTGTGTTTATTTACTGAGGTTTAGCTCATTTAAACACCCTCAAACAAAGGTTATGTTGAATAGTGCTATAACTCTACAAAACACGTTAGAAGCATCAATTTTTACAATAGCCTTATTGTAAACTTCGTGTGAATAAATCATTACCATGTATTTTTATTTTCTCGCGAACGAAAAATTTGTTCTACGAATTTCGTGTGAAATGTTCGAAAACTTTGTAAACTTTTAAAGACAATTTTGCGACTGTTTTAGCTAAAACGCGTATTTTTATTTTTAATTATATTATATATCGTACATATCGTTTTTGATCTAATTGGTATTAGCTGGCATAAATTATGCAGAAAACAATTTTTGGATGGTATATTTGCAGGAATAATGGATTTAACACTTATGTTAGTAACCAAATTTACCGACGTCTTTTAGCAGCCCCCCCCTGAGTACTATTATTATTTTGTTTATTTATTAAAAAAAATTTTCTTCAAATATTAATAGTCAATTTTTTTAAGGTATTCACACAAATACACCGCATAACATAAGGGTTAAAAAAGACTTCTTTAATGACCTCACATTGGGTAGCAACTATTGGAAAAATCTTGTAACTTCTTTCAAAATACATCCACTTTCTCGTTGTTTTATTTTTTAAAATCCTTCCCAAAAATGTCAATTGTATTTTCTTAATAGGCCTTAGTTCATATAAAACACTTTTTAAAATCAAGTAAATAGTCATTAAAGTATGCTTATATTTTATTTATAGTTGTTCCCAACTAACAGTTTTGTGAACCAATTTTCTGGATTAGCGTGGAAAAAAATTTTATTTGCGATTAGGGAAATTTTCGAATACGGTAGATTTTTCCCATGTGAAGTTCACGATAAGAAAAACACAAATTTATGAATATTTTAATGGGCAATGGCGTTGACACGATAGGTAGTAGAAATTGGGCATTAGCTGTGTCACCACGTATTTTAAGGTATTGTTTTTGGTGATCGCTATAATGATAATATGAAATTGAGTAATTTGGATCAATAAAAAATTATTTTAATGAATTACAGTGAAAAAAAGTTGATGAATGACATTTGGTCTTTGTTTTTCTTATCCCATTTGTTGGAATAAAGGATTATATATCTCTATTAAATAGATGGCGAGCACAAAATTCCAAAATGAAGCTTAAACTTTCAAAATTATTTACAATTTTATTTTCTTTTAGATTGCATCCTATTAAATTAATGAAAGTAATAATAATATAATTTTATTTATTGATATATCATTTAGGTAATCTGTCATTGAATAAAAATATGAAGGAACAAATTAAGAAGAAAAAAAAACAGAATGTACGGAACGAAAAAAATATTTCTCAACTAACCGATGTTCTTGATGGATTCAGCTTGGAGACGAGTACCGATTACGAATATGATTTCAACAAAGACTACATAATTGAATAAACCAAATAAATGTTTTATAATATTGAGATACGATTAGGAGTAGAACATGTGGCTACAAACAATAACAACTAAAGTTGATTTTGGGAAAATTTCGATAATCCTTCAATCATATGCTTGCTTTTAAATTCTTATATGTTTGTACTTTCAATTTTAAATTGGCGTCAATACATTTAAAATTTTCTTATGTCGGTTAATTATGTGGCTTGAGTTTGAGCTTAATCCAACTTAAGCAGTTATCCACAGAAATATTGTATCTGTAAATATATATCAATAATGTTTTTGTTAATATGCTTTTTATGTTGAAAATATATTAAATAGAAAATTTTGTATACGGTTTTCTCGAAATGTCCATTATACTGCATTTCGTTAGATTGCAACGTTGAAAATTGGACATGCACAAGTTATATTTGCAGTAGTTTTCTAGTGGCTACTGTGTTATGGTTCTTACTTCTGCTTAATTTCCAATTTTCTTTGGAAATGAAGGTCGTGACTTTGAAAGATTGATGGAACCGATTACGATTCATATCATAATCTATCTCTTCGTAAAGCGAAAAATATGGGACAACATGTAAAAAAGACGCACTAAATACACTATAGAAATACCTCACAAGTGGAGTTGAAATACAAAGTAAAATCAGCAGTCGCACATACTGACGTGAGGTATATGGTAAGTAAGATAGTTAAGGTTAATAAAATATAACAAAAATATTGCAAAAATTTAAAACATTGATTTCCAGGACTGGTGATCACATAGCTGATATGGTTATAGACGAATATAATGCCAAGAAGAAAATATTTGATGTAATAATTCAGACTACAAATACTTTCTTATCACTTCTTGTCTTTAAGGTTATAATCGGTAAACTAAAGTTTACCAAATAATAATAATTTTCAGGTAAATGATAGATAATTAAAATAAATTATTCCAGATATAAAAATTATTCCCAAATTCGGATTATATTTCCCAGACTTTTTTTCTCTTGCCTTCTGAAAAGCGCAGATAACGAGATATACATAAATGTAATATTTGTGTGGAATTTACTCACGGTATATACTTGGTAAGGATAAACAAAAGAAAGTTTGACTAAAGACCCACTTCTGTAGCCTCTATGGCTGTTTATTTTTATACTCTCTCAACGTTGCAACATGTAGTAACTAGTTTTGCTCTCCTAACGGTTGTTTGTATCATCTGAAACTAATCAAGTGAGATATAGGATTATGTATATATAAATGATCGGGATGAAGAGATGAGTTGAAATCCGGGTGACTGTCCGTCTGTGCAAGCTGTAACTTGAGTAAAAATTGAGATATCTTTACTAAACTCGGTACACATGTTTCTTTGTACCGTAAGACGGTTGGTATTGTAGATGGGCGTAATCGGAGCACTGCCACGCCCACAAAACGCCATTAATAAATATCGAAAATAAATTTAATAATATAGGGAGGGGCATCTGTAGTAACATTTTTTTTAAAAGTTGGCGTAGTCCCGCCCCTAATAGGTTTAATGTGCATATTTCCCAAACTGCTTAAGCTATAATAACAAAACTCACTGAAAACCGTTTGGTGCTAGGCGACTTTAACGCGCATCACGATAAAGAAGATACCCTGCGAGAGGACGATCCTCGTAGCGTTGGACTTATCGAAAGCCTTCGACACCGTCAACCACACAAGGCTACTTGAGGACATCGAACAATCTACGCTCCCTCCAGGGCTGAAGCGGTGGACTATGAACTACCTGGGCGGTCGGCATTTATCCGTACTGTTTCGAGGTCAAAACTCCAAATTTAGGAAAATTAAACAGGGGGTTCCGCAGGGCGGTGTCCTCTCCCCACTGCTGTTTAATTGTTATATTTCGAAACTCCCGCAGCCACCAGCGTGAATTTCAGTGACCTAGTACGCTGATGACTGTACGATATTGACGTCGGGAAATGGAATCGATGGCATGTGTTCAATAGTAAACAACTACCTCTCCGATCTTTCTCGCTCCTTCTCTGCAAGGAGCCTAACACTCTCTCCCACTAAATCCACAGCGATCATCTTCACAAATTGGACGAAGGAGTACAGACTGGACCTGAATATTTCAGTCGATGGCACAAAAATTCCGACAGTAAATACTCCTAAAATTATTGGCGTCATTGCCAAAGTACAGAGCCGCAACAAAATCCTCAAGTCGCTTGCCGGCAGCTCTTGGGGAAAAGACAAAGAAACGTTGTTGGCAACATACAAGGCAATCGGTCGGCCGGTCCTAAATTACGCAGCCCCAATATGGTCGCCTGGATGCAGTGACACGCAGAAGAAGAAGCTTCAGACCTGTCAGAACACTGCACTCCGAACTATCACGGGATGCCTCTTGATGTCTCCAATCGAACACCTACATAGTGAGGCCCGTATGCTTCCAGTTAAGAAACACAACGAACTCCTCTCCAAGCTGTTTCTACTGGGGTGTTTTCGTAGAAACCGACCGGACTTCGGAGGCAACGAACTTCAGACAGGCACTGACCGCCATTCACAGTGGAGCCATTAACACCTTCACAGACTCCCTCTCAGTGAATGGCGTAATAGGAGTCAAACCACCACCCATAGCAGACATAGAGCTCGAGTTGCCTCGCGAAACCACAGTGACCCTCGCGCAACTTCGTTCGGATACTGTAGCAGGTTAAACTCCTACTTATCCAGAATAGACCCCGACATACTAAACACATGTCCTGCGTGCAATGAGTCTCCGCATGACACTAACCACCTCTTTGCATGTCCAACAAACCCCACCCATCTAACACCCTTCTCCCTATAGTCCGACCCCGTCGAAACATCTCGTTTCCTGGGCCTCCCGTTAGATGACCTCGACGACAACGAATCTGGAATTTATCACCCAAACGGGGACTAGGTAACCGTTACAACAACAACAGTGTGAAAATAAGTGAAATCGGGTGACACCAATTTCTATGTTATGTGCGAATATGGGCAAAATCGGACTACAACCAAGCATATTTCCCATATATCACCGTTTGTTCAAATTGATTCCTTCACTTTCCAGTATGCAAATCAAGCAACAATGATTATATCGGCGTAAAACTTTGCGTGAATAATGCGTTTAAAGTATGTCACCTTGTGACCAAAAATTCTCTAAACTGTTCAAGCCCCGAGGTACTGAATATGTGGACCCCAGTGCTTATAGTTGACTTTTTACCGAAAATATCGTTCAATGTATAAGATATATAATTGAAATTCATATAATAAATCACTTGATAATGATATATTTTTGTGTCAAAAATGGGTTGAATCGGATCAATACTTCGTATAGCCCTCATATACCTAATATAAAGATTTTTGAACTTCCGGGTGTCTTTATACCGCGTATATCGGCCAGAATGTGTGTTATCTCAATGAAAATGAGAGAGCGTGTTTTACTCTTACTTACTTAGAATGAAATTAGTATATACCTTGGTCTAAACCTCACACCTTCATATAATGAATTCCGATTCTCTGGTAGACGTTTGCCACATTTTAATATAATTTTAAGCCACTTTGGCCGAGTTAATATCACATTCATACTTATCTATATCGCACTTCAAGATGTTTTTTTTTTAAATATACTTTTCGCTGACGCGAGTATAGCAATAAAACTGAGGCCAAGTTCATGGCCTTTAATATAAGTCAAGAAGATACCAAATTTGATTGTAATTTCATCACGATTTAATTTAATAATGCATGTTTAATTCTTTCTCAACATTTTTTAATATAAGGGTATGTCACACCTGAAGGAATTTCCAGGCCTTTGGTTCTTGCGAACCGGGGATATATTGACCCTAGCTCCAACATAATTTTTGTAAAAAATTCAAACTTCCGTTTGGATTTATATAAATGTCAAATATTAGATATACAATAATTGAATGCCGAAAATGTGAGAAATTGGTCCACGAATTTCTCAAGCTTACATGTACTATTTATGGTATAATTTTTTTCCGTTAATTTGATAATTTAATGAAACTAAATGGAAAGTTTTTCTTAAAAATAATGTGGTTTATCGCTGCATATGAATGAAATAGGAATATACCTTTGTTTAAACCTTATAACCCTAATATACTTATTTCCGTTCTTCTGGTACAATAAGCAACCTCATATACCCCACATGTTAAATCTAACCCCTTTGGTTCAGTTTATATCACATATATCGTGGGTTTATCGCTGCATATGAATGATAGGATATATACTTTGTTTAAACCTTATAACCCTAATTACTTATTTCCGTTCTTCTGGTACAATAAGCAACCTCATATACCCACATGTTAAATCTAACCCCTTTGGTTCAGTTTATCACATATCATG